CTCTCTTGCTCTCTCTCTCTCTCTCTCTCTCTCTCTCTCTCGCTTCCCCTCTCCATATATCTCTTGTTGATGTTGTTGTCTTGAGAGGCTACATTCGACTGATTTCTATCTCGAGGTCCTTCTACCTTACAATTTCTCAACCATTTTGTCGCTTTTGCCGGTTAGGGCTGCAGCATCTACCCGAAGACAGGCGCTTTCAACATGATTTTTCATAATTATTTCTGGTTTGCCTGGATTTGCCTTTTTGCTAAAGCTCCAGCTGATAGGAGTTTTTTTTTTACCGTCCAACTTACGGCGGCTTGTGTTACCACCAATTCTCTTTGTGAGAGAGGTTGTGTTATGGGATCCACCCCTTTTTCATACAAGTGGACTCGACCAGTGTGTACTTGTACTGCTGCCGGTGAATACCCAGGAGTAACAGAGATACACTGATAGTGATACAGTGAGAGTGTGAGGTAACCGCTTTGTAGGAGTCACAGTTGCAAGCACGTAGACTCAGAAGGAAGTCCTACTTCGATACTGAATTTCCCAGACTGTATATTATTGCTACTAACCGCATTTCTGGATCTACTAACTGTATTACCAATTGTATTATTACGTCAATACATTTATTTGCTATATTTCATTCCTGCGTTTGTCATTTATTTGAGACCGGATTTCACTCCGGAATCCACAACAGGTTGAATGTACAACATATAGACCTGTGTGTATACTAAGCGCTACCATGTTGCATCGGTCACACAATTACTTGATGGTCAATTGCCTGCGTATGTTCTCCAATATGGCGACTGAATGTTCCACTGTTTCAGGACATCCTGGTTAAAAGGCACAAATCCTGGAAAACGCTTATTAATCCTTCAGTTTCTGGTTCAGGAGTAGAGCCTGAAAGTCTGTAATGGGTAAATTTTTGGTCTACGTCAGGATGACCGGCTCTGATAAGTTATTTGCCGTGCAGAGGGTTTTTTTTCTCTAGTGGTTCAAACTCTGCATTAGTCCCACGAGCCGCTTTGTTACCTCCAACATTTTTAAAGTACTCGTAATTCCTAGTTGTAAACTTGTTTCTTTTGCTCCCCACCCCACTACTCTCCTGATTTAGTGTCAGTGTGTAGCACTCGGTGCGGACCACTTGTAGCTCAGCTGCGTTGTAGGTAGATGCCAGGGGACTAACCATTTTCGGTAATCTGAGGTGTCTAACGCAGGGTTAAGGCCGAATTATTTGATTGCATTTTTTGTTGATTTTTTTTTTATTTTTTTTTTTCAGTTGGAGATGTGTTTAATTGATTCTGTTTGTTTAACTGCATTTTCCAAAGATATTCTATGGAGTCTTTTGTCAGAGTGTAGTTTTTTGTTCTGTTTTTTTTTGGGGGGGAGAGAGTTGGAGGGGGTACGCTCATGTTTTAGAACCAGTTTTAACATGTAGTCTTTTGTTTATTGCAAATAAGCAAAAAGATCCATGGATGCAGTTTATATTGATAGTTAATTATTTTATATTGATAGTTAATTAATCTTGGGAGTCACAATCCTGATTTAGGATGATTTGCGATGTCTTGGAAGAATTTTTGCATCAACCGTGATTACTTCGGTGTCATTATTATTATTATTATTATTATTATTATTATTATTATTATTATCAAAATGCTATTTTTAACGTGCATTTGAATCAAGTGCCGAGTCCTAAGCAATGACCTAAACGAAGCGAATAATTTGATTTTTTGTTGTTTTCATTTAACTAAACAAAAGACAGTCATAAACAAAAAAAAATTAAATGGGCAAAGATCTTCACAGGATATGGGCTGTGATTATCATCATTATTATTATTATTATTATTATTATTATTATTATTATTTTATTATTTTTTATATTTTTATAATTATAATTTTTATTATTATTTATTATTTTATATTTATTTATTATTTTTATAATTTTTATTATTATTTATTATTTTATAATATTTCTTCATTATTTTTATAATTTTTATTATTATTTATTATTTTATAATATTTATTGATTATTTGTATAATTTTTATTATTATTTATTATTTTATTATATTTCTTCATTATTTTTATAATTTTATTATTTTTATTATTTTATATTTATTTATTATTTTTTTTATAATTATTATTATTATTTTATAATTATTTATTATTTTCATAATTTTTATTATTATTCATTATTTTTATTATATTTATTCATTATTTTTATAATTTTATTATTATTTATTATTTTATAATATTTCTTCATTATTTTTTATAATTTTTATTATTATTTTTATTTTATAATATTTTATTGATTATTTGTATAATTTTTATTATTATTTATTATTTTTATAATATTTCTTCATTATTTTTATAATTTTATTATTTTTTATTATTTTATTATTATTTATTTTATATTTATTATTATTATTTTATATTTATTTATTATTTTCATTTTATTATTCATTATTTTATTATATTTATTCATTATTTTTATTTTTTATTTTTTATTATTTTTTTATTCATTTTTTTATATTTTTTTATTATTTTTTTATAATATTTTTCATTATTTTTATAATTCTTATTTTTTATTTTATAATATTTATTCATTATTTTTATAATTTTATTATTATTTATTATTTTATATTTATTTATTATTTTATAATTTTTATTATTATTTA